TTGAAAATAACAATACTCCGCGATTTTATTTTCTTGAAAAACACGAATATTCTGCGGATTATTTTGCGATTTTAGTTTCTTGAAATTGGAATATTCCTGCAAGTATTTTTTTTATTATTTTTGCAATTTATTTTTTGAGGAAATTCGAAATTTGCTGCGCAACCTTTCTACTGCGATTTCCCATTGTATTAGTCCGCGATCTTTTCTTCTTTGAAGATTCGTGGCTGAGGAGATCCAGGAAAAGTTTCGATTCTATTCCTTCAAAAATCTTCGTTACTTCTGGAATTCAAAAATTTTGAACTTCAATCTTTTTTCTGAAAATCGTTTTTTTTTGGGAATCTTTTTCGAAATTTTTCTTGAAATTCGTTTTTCAACTTCGAAAAATTCTGAAATTCGTTTTTATTTTCGAGATTATTCCCGAAATCCATCTTTAATTTGGGAAACCCCGATTTTTTATTATTATTATTATTTTTTTTTTTTTGAAAATCGTTTTTTTTTTATTTTTGGGAAATTATTTTTTCGGGAACCCTCTGCGCACACTCTCATGTGACATATTCCGAACTTTTTCCCTTCGGAATTTGCCGAACCTGCGGGAATATATTTTCTCTCGCAGTTCAGCTTYCCCCCCATTGTCTCCATTCTGATTCATTGCAGCCTGCAATTCGACATTTTTTTTACTGTTCGTAACTGCTGCGGGGATATCTAAGGAGCCTACCAAGCTTGCAAATTCGACTTTTTTTCTTTTTTTCGAAAATGCAGCAAGGTCGTAATTTTTTCTTTGATTAGCGGCTCCTTATCTGGGCAACCCCTTYGCTGGCCCACTCCCCCTCTCTCCATCCCACCTCTCCTTTCCTTCTCCGTCCTTTCCCGCCTGCCCAGCCACCTGCAGTTGCAGGCCAGGTAAGCCATTTCAGCAGGCCACGTCAGGGTCCCGCGGCGCATGACCGTTCTGACTCGCACGCAAACAGCGGCGATGGATCAGAAGCCAGGTGAGACTGACGCGGACTACGAAGCACAGCTGGTGGCCATCGTAGCCGAAGGCAAGAAGCGGGCAGACGCAGCAGCAGCAGCACGGAAGAAGAAAGAAGCAGAGGCAGAGAGGCTACGTCTTCTGGCTGAAGAGCAGCAACAGAAGCACGCAGCAGCAGCAGCCAAGGCCGCCGATGAAGAACGTGCACGGTGACGCGAGGTCATATTCAGGGAGGAAAGTGCACTTCACGCACAGGCTAAGGATTGGCAAAAAGAGGCCGAGAACGGCGACCCCGTTGACGTCGGGAGCAGAGTGTCTCAACTACTCAACCGCGTCACGGACCTCCTTGCTACTTGTATTGTGCAGCAGGAGGATATCCATTCGCTCGACCACACCAACCAGGTGCAACAACAGTCCATGGACAAGATGCTCCAGAGCATCCAGCAGCTGGAGCAGCAGCTTGCCACCGCCAACTCCGGCGCCGGTCCTTCCGACCTCGTCGACCGCGTCAACGTTTTGGAGATTGACATGGGAGTACTCAAGACCGGGGCGCAACGTTTTGTAGAGGGTTCAGTCTCTTGATGGGTCGGTGAAACTCCGATGGAACAGCCTGTCACAGCCCCTTGTTTGTTGTCCTCTTCTCTCTCTCTGCCTACGGTTCACCGTGCAGTTGTCCATCATATGATGATTACATATATATCATCATGGAGAACTGCCCGGTGATTAGAGGGGGAGAGGGAGAGAGGGAGAGGAGGACACTATATCGTTTTACAGAGCTGCCAGGTGAAGCATAAGCAAAGAGGGAGAGAGGGAGAGGAGGACAACAAACGAGGGGCTATGATAGACCGTTTCATCGGAGTTTCACCGACCCGGTAGCTCTCCATGACCATTATATGTATATTTGATTTTCTTTTTTCTTTGTAGGGGGG